AAAAAAAAAAAAAAAAAAAAAAAAAAAAAAAAAAAAAATTTGTAGCAACAGCCTCCCTTTGTTGCCCAGGCTAGTTTTGAACTCCTGGGTTCAAGCAATCCTCCCCCTTCAGCATCCCAAGGTGCTGGGATTACAGATGTGAGCCACCAAGCCCAGGCCCATTTTACGTTTATAGGATGTAAAATATATCTTCAACCAACATTAAATTAACCAAAGTTCATGTTTATGTACAGATATGGAACCATATCCGAGATAAAGAGATAAGTGAAAAGAAAATAAGGATTGGGACAGGAGTATTTGCCGGTATGTGCATAGAAATATTTCTGGAAGGTAACACAGAAGCTCGATAACAGTGGTTTTCCCTGAGAGTGGGAATAGGATGGGGACATTCCCTGCAAATTCGTTTGTATCTTGAATTTGGTTCCATGTGTATGTACTACATCTTTGAAAACGGGTGATTAAACATTTTTAAAGGTATCCATATTCTACAAACCAAAATATACACTCAACATTGGAAATGACCTTCCAGAAAATAAAAATAAAATTTCTCCCAATAGACAAGATTGTCAATAAGCAGACCTTCCATATCTGATATTTATCCTCATGTGCTAAGACTTATTTATTCACTTTCATCAATGAACTAATTTCCATGAGGGGTACAGAGTTTTTAATTATGTGGCCATGTACAAAATCAGAAATTTTCTTTCTGGTTCGCCTACCTCCTTTACACAGGAAAATTGGGGAACATTCTTCTATGCAAACTATTGCAGGGAAAAGGACCACATAAACATTAAACCATTAAAACAATAACTGTGATTGGGAGGTGAGTGGGGAGGCCATATTCATATGTTTGTACTATTTTTGAAGTACTTGCTGGGCCATAATTAAAGGGAAAACTATCTTACACTATTTGCTTTTCTGTTTAACAGTATAGGTGGTTGTATAGGATGTTTCTGTTACTTTCTTTTTTGAGAAAGAAAAAAAAGGCTGTTGCCCAGGCTGGAGTACAGTGGCACGATCTTGGCTCACTGCAACCTCCACCTCCTGGGCTCAAGCCATCCTCCCAAGCAGCACACACCACCATACCCAGCTAATTTTTTGTATTTTTAGTAGAGATGGGGTTTTGCCATGTTGCCCAGGCTGGTCTCGAACTTCTCAGCTCAAGCAACCCTCCCACTTCGGCCTCCCAGAGTGCTGGGATTGCAGGCGTGAGCCACCATACTCAGCCTGTTACTATTTATTGATCTCTCTGTTCCCTTTGGCGTTGTTCTAATGGTGTCGTGCAAATTGAGAATAAGGTAATTTTTTTTCTAACTCAATAAAATGGCATCGTAGAAGACATTCCTATAATCAAGCAGTTGTTTTCTTTGGAAATTTAACAGTTCTTTTTTAGAATACTTTAGAGACCCAAAATATATCAGTTATTAATTCTTTCCTCTCCTTTCTATCAGGTTGTGTGACCCTAGTTACTATAGGCTCTTATGTAAAACGAGCTCTTTGCAGGTAAACACCTCTGTTCAAATTACATTCTGTAATTGCTCAGCCCTCACAGACAGAAAACTCACAAGGATCACATTTAGGAACCTGTCATGCCTGGTCCAGGTCCTCATCGCATCCGGTCAGTCAGGCAAGCAGACAGTCTCAAGGCCTTCAAGACTTTGCACGAAGCTGCTGTGTGTATGAATGGAGATTTTTGGTTGGCTTGGGAGTGGAGTAGGGGAAGGTGGTTATTATTTCCTTAAAAAATATGTTTTCAAATTGGTGATTTCGAAATGACATTGTTATTCAAATCAATGGTAGCCAAAGGAAAGGAAGTAAAGAAAAGCATTAATTAATGATAAGGTTTCCTGTTGTTCTCCAGCAAGGCTCTCTCCAAAGCAGGCTGTGTAAAAATTGATCCAGCCTCACTGTGCCCCAGTGCATTTACTAGGGCATTATTAATTTGCTAAACGATGAGCTGTCACACAATTCTTATATGAAGCCCCCTAAAAGCAAAGATGCTGTAACTTCCAGTTCTAACTGCTTTCGACTTCCTATCAGGGAACATGGAAAAAATGGGAGCTAGTTGATGAGGACATCTAATTAAGGTGTGTCCCCAAAACTCCTTTTTAAGCAGCTTTCAACCTCTTTGAATTCATGCTAAAATTAAATGTTCCTCCGAATACATGGATGTATCTGAATACATAAATGTGCATGTGTGTGAACTGAATCATCTACTTTTCCATAAAATAAAACATATGGGCAGCTCACGTTACCTGCTGAAATAACCTGGCAAAGTTGTTTTGAAGCAAATTATTCCCCAGGCTTTTTATCTAATATTTTCTGCTCTGATTATATTTGATTACTAGTTTCTAGCCTTTATCTCAACAATGTAGAACTCTTAGCAGCATCCAACATAGAGAAACGGGAGTCAGGAGGGAGACGGTTTCATCAAAGGAAATATTAGATGCACATCTATGCTTTCCTTGTTCTCTGACTCCCAATCTTTCTGTTTTTTTTTTCTTTCTTTAAGATGGAGTCTCACTCTGTCACCCAGGCTGGAGTGCAGTGGCGCGATCTTGGGTCATGCAACCTCCACCTCCCAGATTCAAGCATTTCTCCGGCTGCAGTCTCTCAAGTAGCTGGGATTACAGATGCCTGCCACCATGCCTGGCTAATTTTTTGTATTTAGTAGAGATGAAGTTTCACCATGTTGGCCAGGCTGGTCTCAAACTCCTGACCCCAAGTGATCTGCCCGCCCTGGCCTCCCAAAGTGCTGGGATTACATGTGTGAGCCACAGTGCCCAGTCCATTTTTTACTCTAATATAACTCTTTTTATTCAGCTCAGTTCAGAGTAATAACACCAAGGAAGAAAATGAGAGTTCAATCTGATTCATATTTATAACAAAAAATTATAATGTTTAATATAAGGTACAATAATAAATTATAAATGGTTTTAGATAATAATAGTGAATAATTTACTGCTTGGAATATATCAGTATATCAGTTGAGAAAAATTCTTCTAAGCTCCAAAGTAATATTATTCAAAGCTGCCATAGCTCTAATAAACCAAAAATAAAATTCTAAGTCCCCAGCTGGCTGAACGAACTCCATTTCATGGAATATGCCAAAGGGATTCCAAGAAACCTGAAAAGCTAGTTAAGACCATGATGGGAAGGCGGGGCTCAGGCATGCTTCATTACACCCTCTCCCTTCTGGAGTTTAGACACAACTGGCCAACGTTAACATCAGTGTACAGATCCCAGACTGACAGAAGAGACTCTTCATAGCAATAAGATACCAATAACATCACATGACAGATAACAGGCCATAAAGGGAATCAAAGTATTTTACCCCAACATATATTTATTTCCAAAGCCATTTCTTGTGGGGAAAATTTACATTCTGTAGTGAGCCTCCTTCCCTTTCCAGGTCTTTTCCTGATCCACAAGAGATTTCACTAAGAGCCTGATGGCTTTTAGATTTTTTTTTTTGAGACGGAGTTTCACTCTAGTCGCCCAGGTTGGAGTGCAGTGGAGTGATCTTGGCTCACTGCAACCTCTGCCTCCTGGATTCAAGCAATGCTCCTACCCCAGCCTCCTGAGTAGCTGGAATTATAGGTGCCTGCCAGCAGGCCCAGCTAATTTTTGTATTTTTAGTAGCGATGGTTTCACCATGTTGGCCAGGCTGGTCTTGAACTCCTGACCTAAAGTGATCCACCCACCTCAGCCTCCCAAAGTGCTGGGATAACAAGTGTGAGCCACTGCCCTGGGGGCTCCTGATAGCTTTTATTTTTTTTTAATTGTGTTTTAGGTTTTGGGGTACATGTGAAGAACATGCAAGATTGTTGCATAGGTACACACATGGCAGTGTGGTTTGCTGCCTTCCTCCCCATCACCTATATCTGGCATTTTTCCCCATGCTATCTCTCCCCAACTCCCCACCCCGCGCTGTCCCTCCCTTATTTCCCCCCTACAGACCCCAGTGTGTGATGCTCCCCTCCCTGTGTCCATGTGTTCTCATTGTTCAACACCCGCCTATGACTGAGAACATGCGGTGTTTGATTTTCTGTTCTTGTGTCAGTTTGCTGAAAATGATGGTTTCCAGGTTCATCCATGTCCCTACAAAGGACACAAACTCATCGTTTTTTATGGCTGCATAGTATTCCATGGTGTATATGTGCTTTTCCCCGTCCAGTCTGTCATCGATGGGGATTTGGGTTGGTTCCAAGTCTTTGCTATTGTAAACAGTGCTGCAATGAACATTCATGTGCATGTGTCCTTATAATAGGATGATTTATAATCCTTTGGATATATACCCAGTAATGGGATTGCTGGGTCACTGATAGCTTTTAAGCTCTGATAGAAGACATTGACCACCTACTCACTCTGAAGCCTCCTTCATAGATCCTTGGCTTCCACAATACCCCTTATTTTAGCCCCAAGCATTTCTTTCTGCTGACTTTAATTCTTTCGGCAAAGCTTAACTCTTTCAACCAATTGCCAATCAGGAAATCTTTGAATCAAATCATAAACTGGAAGCCACCCCCTCCCACCCTTCAACATGTCCCCTCTTTCCAGGCCAAACCAATGTATACTTATACATACAGATTTATGTCTCTGCCTATAACTTCTGTTTCCTCAAAAAGTATAAAATCAAGCAATGTAACCCAACCACCCTGGGCACACGTCCTCAGGATCTCCTGATGCTGTAGCACAAGTCATGGTCTTCACATTTGCTCAGAATATACCTCTGCAAAACTATACTCTTTACAGTTTACAAAGCATGTTCACATGTTCACTCATTTGATTCGCTCAATAACCATTTAAATACAGCATTCCCATTGCACAGATGAGGAAAATATGGCTCAAGAAGCTCCCATAAATTGCTGAGATTCACCCAGCTAGTAATTGGCAAGGTCATGCCTGAATGCGCTTCTGAAGCAAAACACGTTTTAGCTCCTTAACCCCCTTTCTTCTCCCTCTATCTGAAAAAGACGTTCACACTCAGATGTGAGTTCCTGATCATGACATAGGGTACAATCCTTGCCAGGGTATTTTGGTTTTAAAAGAAGATTAAGTCAATAACCTAAATGAATTCTCTCTAACAGTAGACTTTGAGGCACTAGATTAAATAGTGATGGAAAATAATGATAGTAATAGTTACTATTTCTTGAGTATTTGCCCATAGGCGAAGTGTTGGTCACTGAATCCTTGCAGTCTCTCCAGGGCAGGAGTTATAATGACCACTTTTCCAATGCGGGAGCTGAGGGGCTTAGAGGAGGTAAGTCCCTTTCTCAGAGTCCCACTCCTGGTGCAGGGGAAAGAGCGAGAACTCTCCCAGCTGTGTCTGATTCTAAAGCTTTGGCTCTTTCAACTGAATTAGCCAGCTCCAAGGCTGCCTCCCCAGTTTTGGGGAGATGCGCTTGTTGGTTTATTTTTTCTTTGTAATCAGCAATGATACATGATGTAGAAGATCATTAGACTTGGAATCAGGGGACTTGGATAAGAATCCCAGACTCCTGCTCATTCAGTTTTCCTGCAGAAGGTGGAGTTGCTCTTCCTTTACCCAAGTTCCCAGCTTTTTCAATAAACAAGAACTCCTCTCGTCACTCCTCTGTAACTGGGTGAGAAGTTGGGGGGACTCATTTAAAAATATTTTCAAAAATGTTCTAGCAAACCACCCTACCATTATTTAATATTTTATATTTCTTTTGGCAAGCATGCTGAATTTTTCTCTTTGGTATCCCTCCCCCTCTTCTTTTAGGAGATACCCATGTAAGGATGTTATTAAGGAGTTTCTATGTCAGGAAGGAAGAAAATGTTCCATCCCATGATTGTTATTCATGGCTTTACGTTACTTTTGCAAAGTTATTTTATTTCCAAGAGTTTCAGAGAACACTGAATTCTATTATTGGAAATTTGTTGGCGCTTAGCTCTTAAATCAATACAGAGGCATTGGAATTTATAATCTTTTCCTCTGCTGCTAATCACTAACATCCTATTTGCAACTTTAGGTCTCCATGTCAGACATATCAGTGGGCACATAACTGACCCTTCACTTGGCCCTGGGTTATGGGAGTGCTCAACCAGAGGACAGAAGGAGAGCAAAAAAACACATTGTAGATGACAATGCGTATTGGTTTCCTATTTTTGTGACAATAAGTTATCACTAATTTCCTGGCTTTAATATAAATCTCTTATCCTATGTTGGGAGATCAGAAATTTTTCTCTGTTTTGTTTGTCTAACTTCAAATGAGAATTTCTTTTCTTGTTAACTGGTCACCCCATACAGGATCTGACACTTTCCATTCTTCAGGGACTGCATTTCAAGACTTGTAGGAGGAGATCAACTCCATCAAGGGACCTTCACCAAGGAGAACATCTGCTCAACCACCTGCAGTGCAAGTGTGGTCAGAGACAAATCCCTCTTCCTACACCCTGCCCTCACCCTTGCTCATCTCTGAAGACACTCAGCGGGCACTGGAGAGGAACATGACTACATTCTAGAAGAGTGTCTCCTGTCTTCTATTTCCAGAGTGGCCCTACTATGGAACTAAGCCACTGGACTTCAAAGGTTTGTGTATCATTTACAACTGATCTTATTGTACTTTTTGTTAGAAAAGTATTTGAATGAATGAAAGAAGTGTAAGATGACGGATGAATACATTCCCATAGATGAACGCTCATTCTACCCCTGGGACTATTTATCAAGCATTACAAATCTTTGCAAATTTCTAATTAATCTGTGTAAATCTCATCACCCCTCATTGTCTTTAAAATATGCATTTTAGAATGACATTTCAGCTATTCACTGCTTTATAGAAGCTTCTATAACTTGTTTTGGAAAATAGGCATACAGCATGGTGTCATGGGAACAGGCATGTAGCATGGTGTCGTGGGAACGGGCATGTAGCATGGTGTCGTGGGAACAGGCGTGTAACAGTGGTGTCATGGGAACGGGCGTGTAGCATGGTGTCGTGGGAATGGGCGTGTAGCATGGTGTCGTGGGAACGGGCGTGTAACAGTGGTGTC